GGGGGGAAGCGCGGGTCGACGGGCAGCGGGGGGAAGCGCGGGTCGACGGGCAGCGGGGGGAAGGCGGTTCGACGGGGGGGGGGGGGGGGGGGGGGGGGGGGGGGGGGGGGGGGGGGAAGCGCGGTTCGACGGCAGCGGGGGGGAAGCGCGCCCCTAAAACCCTAAAACCCGGGCTACGCTAGATCGGGAGGAAGAACGAGCGGTAACGAACGAACGGGACTAGATCGGGCCGGCACTAGGCTCGGGCAAGACGGGCGAAACGAGAGCTAGGATCAGGCTCGGGTGGTACGATCGGAGAACGGAGAAACGGGATCCCACAGGATCCTAACCTAACTGATACCATGTCAAAATGAGGAATGAATGATGCATTGATGTTGGTTGGGGTACATATAGCTAACCCTAAGTTTTGTACCCCCTAAGACAAACCTCACTATAGGCTACAACATTTGACAGTTTAGCGCGCTTCGACGCTGCCAAATATTCGGTACAGGCAGCTTCGCTTTCACAATACACAATTTTGAAAAAATTATAATTTTGTGGTGGTTTACAGGCTTCCCTACCGCTCCCCACGGCTCCACGTCTAAAAGACAACCAGCAACCATAGACAAACTCGTCGATTGTACCTACGGTATAACGATAGTGGTGCAGCCCGTACATGTTACCAGGTGTCAAACAATATGTTTAATATATACCCTGCGTGCTGTAGGTACTGTAGTTATTATTATTAAGAGTTGGTGGTGCACCTTCTTTGTTGCTTTGCTATATGTACCTTGTGTGCTATAGTGAAACCCCTCTCCTTTCTCGTAACACACTCTTTCCTTGCCTAAACTCTCTCGACACTTTCTCCTCTTCACCCTAGCATGGCTCCTCACCTCTAGCTACTATCTTGACATGGTACAGAGCTGGTTCTTTCCCGGAACCTTCTCTTTTTTTTTAAGAATCATGGGCCCGCCCGTACTACAGCGCGAAATGCGCTATTTTTTTTTTTTCTCCCCGTTCGCCCGTCACGCGCGCCCTGCCCGTCCCCCCGAACGTGCCACGTCGGCTGCCTCGCGGACGCCCCGTCGGCTGCCCCGCGGACGCCCTGCCCGTCGCCCGCTGCCCCGCCGTTTCGTCGCCACGCGGCCCCCATTTCGTCGCCACGCGGCCCCCGTTTCGTCGCCCCCGTCACCCCGCAATCCGCCAGCGCGGAGGCCAGCGCCGCGGCCAGCCGCCAGCGCCAGCAGCAGCTACCGCCGCCCCACCCCCCCCGCCCTCCCTTACGCGGCTTCCGTCGTGGGGAGGGGGGAGGGAGGGGGAAGGGGTTGTGGGGGGGGGGCGGGTGTGAGGAGCCTGCCACTCCTCCCTCCCTTCCCTCTTCCTCTCTCCCTGCAGCAACTGTTGCTGTAGGGGGGGGGGAGAGAGGGTAAGGGGGGATGTGAGAGGGTAAGGGAGGGGGGGAGATGTGTGGGTGGCGTGTGTGAGCTGCCTGCAGCCCGTCCCTCCCCTCTCTCTTACTGCAGGGATTGTCGCCGTAGAGAAGGGGGGGGGGAGAGAAGTGCAGAAGGGTGAGGGGGTGGCGGGAGAAGACAGGTGCGGAAGGTGTGAGGTTGACGGGGTTGAGTGACGAGGGGGGTGAGGACTAGGGGGTTCTTAACGGGGGGGGATCGCATTGAGCGTGCGCGCTCATGCCCGCCTAGCCCACCTCCTCTCCTCATCGGGACTTGGGGGTTCTTAACGGGGGGGGATCGCTATGAGCTTTCGCGCTCAAGCCCGCCTAGCCCACCTCCTCTCCCTTCCCTCTCTCACCTCCCCTTTGTAAAAGGAGGTTCGTAAGCGGGTCCGCCGGTCCTGGCCCCCCACCTCCTCTCCTCTCCTCTTCTCTCCTCTCCTCTCCTCTCCTCTCACCTCCTCTCCTCTCCTCTCCTCTCCTCTTCTCTCCTCTCCTCTCACCTTCCTCACTTCTCTGCCTTCTTCCACAGCGCTTGGTTTGCTCGTTCAGGGGGTGCTGGCTGCACCAGTTTCTACCGCACGCAGGCTAAGGGGGTGTGTCAAACAATATGTTTAATATATACCCTGCGTGCTGTAGGTACTGTAGTTATTATTATTAAGAGTTGGTGGTGCACCTTCTTTGTTGCTTTGCTATATGTACCTTGTGTGCTATAGTGAAACCCCTCTCTTTTCTCGTAACACACTCTTTCCTTGCCTAAACTCTCTCGACACTTTCTCCTCTTCACCCTAGCATGGCTCCTCACCTCTAGCTCACCAGGCTCAACAATGACTGGGCGTTGGCCTCTCAAGGTGGAATTCCAGCCTTCAACGCTGATTACCGGTATTGTTGTAACGAACTGTTTTATGGTGTGTAATGTACCATGGCTGTCTAGCACTTTATGGTATTTTCTGGTCACTAAACATACTGTTGGATTGCTCTGTACGTACGGTACCCTACTACCCTACGCAGATGTACCCGTTGTAGCACATCTGGAGCAGAAGTTTTAGCCTACGAGGCCTTAGCAATCGTAATGTTACGGTACAGGAAAAACAGTAGAAAGGTTCAGTGCATTCTGAGTATTCTAACAGCAAGATAGACTATCGTATCAACTAGACTATGATGAGGTCACCTCATCATATCAACTATCGTAAACCTGAACGCCAAGGCTCTAGAGCAACGACCAAATCAGGAGAAGACGACAACCTTCTTTTCCGCGCCGGCCCGCTTCCAGACGCCTCCGAACGCCCAGTTTTCGTACCCGCCATTGCCAAGATTCTTCACACAGAAACGGCCCTTCTTGTAATACACCGTGAACTTCGATATATCCCCATTATGGCGCACCTCCACTAGCGCGGACGCCGGGTCGCCCTGCACGGAGTGTGCGCTCTGAATGACCATCACGTTGTACCCCGCGTTCATGAATAACTCCGCGACCGTCTGAGTCACCACGTCGTCTGCTGGACCGTCGATCGTGCCCAAGCTGCCGGCAATAATCTGATCCTCAGTCAAATCGTCCCAGCTGAACAATTTCCGCTCAACCCTGTGCGGGGATACCGCGGAATCCGCGCTGGTGTCGGACGGGGACGGGTGCAGGATAGGCGGCGCGGCGCTGGCGGTGGTGACGGCGAGGAGGAGCAGGACGGAGAGAGTGAGAGGAAGCATCTTGCGAGCCGAGTGAAGCCAGGAGTGGGCCATTGAGAAGTCAGTTCGATGATCAGATCTCAGTTGTACGATTGCCAGAGGCTAAGAATCAGCGATGAAAAGCTAACCGTACACGTTAATCACACAAGAGGATTCAAATCCGTGAGCCGCGAGGTGCTTGGTACACGAAATCGAACGCAGGAAAAAGAAAACGGAGGCGGAAGCTGTGATGATTGAGGTGAGTCCGCAGCTTCTAATTTATAGCCCTTGGCATAGTTCGCACTTGGAGTCCGACTCTGACGTGAAGGCAGTAGTATGCGACTCGCTAGAGCCGCCATGGCCAATGATTAGCGTACGGACTACGCTCGGACGTGATTGACACGTGAGAATGTTGTTCCTCGGGTCCGTCTAGGCGGTTGGTAACAGAGATAGGGAATAGCCATTGCGAAATAGTTATCGAAGCGGCTGGCGGTAATGTAGTGGGGGTGGTGGCGAGCTGAGGCGTGTCGAGGGGTGGAAGGGAAGGGTGGAAGGAAGTGAAGGGGACAATAAGGACGTGTGTGAAATTGGATGGAGTTCGTAATCTGGGTCGTGTTCGTATGGTTACCCTATTCGCCACATTTCGCCTGATTTTTCGCCAAATCCGAAAGTATTACCACGTTTGGGAAGTGCGAACCCTCAATTGTGAACACGATAGGGAAGAATTATCAAACTTCGGCAAACACAAAGAACCGAACGTGTGTGGTGTCAGCCACGTACGAGGTTCCAGCGAATCTCGCGACTCTTTCGTGCGCCAATGAGATCACAACCAAGACCCTACACATTGCTGAACTCGCTAGGCCCACCACGTGGCACCCGACGTTCCACGATGGCCGGTCAAGCGCGCGTATCTCCCGGGGCACACGATGAGGCCACGAAATCCCGCCAACATTCCTCACAACTCCATCGACCCTCAATTTCTCCCCGACATCAACCCCTGAGCATTAAATAGGTGGTATAGCACGCTTTCACACCGTGCCCACAACATAGACAGTTTCAATCATGTCAGCCTCTCAAAATGAAGCCACTGCAAACCCCGCACCTACAAATGCTCCAGTTGCTTCCCCCGTACCTGCGCGCCGCCGTCGTGCCACCGTCGACAATACTACCGCACGCAGGTTAGACGTGATGACCCCGATCAAGTCATAGCTCGTGTCCCCGCACACAACACCCCTCTTAACGCCACCGACGACACGCTCTCTTATTTCGACGCTGGTGAGGTCGACTGCGACGTCGAAGACATCGCAGACGAGGACACTGACCCTGCTACCACGTCCGACCGGCCTCGATGGGAACCGCACGAGGTGATGCAGCTAGCGTGGATCCGCCACGACTACGACGCGCAATGGCGCAGCCAGACCCGCCTGCAGGGGCAGAACCGTAATGTCATGCTATTCGAGAAGCTCCGCGAGCGCCACCCCAACTTCAGGCATAACCAGGCCGCTGTTAAGACCAAGGTTTTCAAAATGGAGGCGCAGTATCGGCGGGTGGGGGATCTCCTGCTCAACGATTCGGGCAAGGGCAGGCCCCCGAAACTCCCCATCTTTTATGACATTTTCGATCGCATCTTGGGCGATCGTGCGAATGCACGTCCGCCCGCACTAGCAGGCAGCCTTCCTGGAGCTAATGTGGTTAATCTGCCTTCAACTGCTCCTGCTGCCGGTATGTGTTTTGATGTGCGTTTTTTACATCACATAATCCCCGAACAGCCTATCTCGATTAAAGGTGTTAGCTACATGTGTTACATAGCTATTAACCTTCAAAAGAAAACCCCACTAACTACTACTGACGCATTATCTCCCCTTTGTCCCCATGCGGCTCTACTACCCATCGTCTTGCATGTCGTGCCATGCAAGCTACAGCAGGAATAACCACGGACGTGCACACGGCGGCGTCGGCGTCGCCAAGTCGGCCGAGGGGTACAGCCCGCCCGGCATCGCGCCAGCGCAGGCCTTCAACGCCGAGTGGGTCGCCTTCGAACGCGCCGCTCAACACGGCCCCAGCGTCGGACGACGAGCCCACAAATGCTGCCGCGGCGGAGTCTCCTGTCCGTTCACACGTCCTCGGTGCGCGCACGGGAGCTTCGCTCCGTGGGCGTGGCGTCAACCGTCGGCCTGGGCCTGCGGCTGCGAGCGATACAACCACGGCAAACGACCCGGGAACACAAGCATTAGGGAGTGTGATGAATGCTAGTGATGCGTCGTTGTGCAGGGAAATAGCCGCGACCATTGCGACGTCGGTAAACAGTGTTATGGCGGCTCAATTTGCTCTGTTTATGGAACGTACCCAAGAGTTGGTTGCGTCTGCTCAGGATGCTCCAGTCTCCAGGAAACTGTCAAATGTTGTAGCCTATAGTGAGGTTTGTCTTAGGGGGTACAAAACTTAGGGTTAGCTATATGTACCCCAACCAACATCAATGCACCATCCATTCTTCATTCTGACATGGTATCAGAGCGGTTAGGATCCTGTGGGATCCCGTTCCTCCGTTCTCCGTTCGAGCCTCCCGAGCCTGATCCTAGCTCTCATTCGTCCCGGTTCCGTTGTTACCGCGCGTAGTGCCGCGCCTAGCGCCACTCCTAGCGTCGCGTCCTGCCCGCCCTTTCCCCCTCGTCGCGTCCCTTTCCCCCCGTCGCGTCGCGCCCTTTCCCCCCAGTCGAGTCGCGCCCTTTTCCCCCCGTCGCGTCGCGCTCTTTCCCCCCGTCGCGTCGCGCCCTTTCCCCCCGTCGCGTCGCGCCCTTTCCCCCCGTCCCGTCGCCCTGCCCCGTCCCGTCGCCCTGCCCCGTCCCGTCGCCCTTCCCCGTCCCGTCGCCCTGCCCCGTCGCGTCGCCCTGCCCCGTCCCGTCGCCCTGCCCCGTCCCGTCGCCCTTCCCCGTCCCGTCGCCCTGCCCCGTCGCGTCGCCCTGCCCCGTCGCGTCGCCCTTCCCCGTCCCGTCGCCTCTGCTCCGTCGCGTCGCCCTGCCCCGTCGCGTCGCCCTGCCCCGTCGCATCGCGCCCGCCCTTTCCCCCGTCCCGTCGACCCTACGCCCTGGCCCGTCGCCCTAGCCCGTTCTTCCGCTGCGACTAAGTCCCCCCACCTGAACCCTAATTTGCCTCTTACCTCCTGCTGTTACTCGCCTGCTCGTTCGCGTTAGTTCTCGCTATGGCGACTCCGCGAGTTCTTCGTTTCGACGCTGACGGTAGACCTCTTGACTTTTCCGTCTGGCTTCTTCGCGCTCGCCGTCTGTTAGAGAGTCAAGTCCAGGGGGGCGAGACCCTCTGGTCGCACGCTACTGGTGACCTCCCCGAGCCCCCCGAGCCTGCCGCTTTAGGTCCTGCCCCTGACGATGCTGCTACGGCTCGCTTTGCCCGTCAGCGCGCTGACAGGACGGCTTGGACGTCGCGTGACGCTGCGGCCTGCATCGCACTCAGCAGCCTCCTCCCTGAGTCAGAGGAGGTCCACTTCACTCAGGTTCGCACCGCTGCTGCGTACCTCACTGCGATTAAGGCCCGCTACTCTACTCCCGCTACTGTCTCTCTTGGCCGTCTTTTCCTCCCGTTCCTGTTTCCTGATCTCGCCTCGTTTGAGCGCTCTGCTGACTTGATCGCTCACCTCCGCTCGCTCGACGCTAGTTACCGCGCTGCTTGCACTGAGGCACAGCTTGCACTGCTTCCTCCCCCTATGGCGATTACTATCTATTTCATCGCCACTAGCCTCCCTGACCGCCTTGCCTCCGTTCGCGACGCGCTTCTGCTGAAGCACCCTAGTGAGCTCACCGTCGATGTCCTTGAGTCTGCACTCAAGGACGTCGAGAGCAACCTTCGCTCGGTAGCCGCTGCCTCTGGTGCTGTGCCCCCCCCACTCTTCCACGGGTGCACAGTCCCGCAGTTACCCACCTTTACTGCCTCACTTGCCACTGCCGCTACTGACGCGACTGCAGCTGCTGTTACGACTGCGTCGCGGTCCCGCGGTAGGAGTGGCAAGAAAGGCGGTTCTGGTGGTGGTAGTGGAGGTGGAGGCGGAGGTAGTGGAGGTGGCGTTGCGCCTGGCGGCGGTGGAGGTTCAGGGCCTGGAGAGGCGCCTCGTGCAGTGACTGGTGACTCCACTGCGCCTGCTAGTGGTGGCGACGCCCGAGTTCGTCAGTCGCCTCCTGTACTTCCTGCCCCGGTTGGTGGAGCAGCGGCGTGGTACCAGGCTCAGCGTCAGCAGCAGCTTCTGCAGCACCAGCAGCCCCTCTCCTCCCAGCAGCCTCAGCAGCAGCAGCGGCAGCAGCTGGCTCCAGGGTCGGGGCTGCGTCAGACCCAGCGTGGTGCTGCTTACACTCCCTGCACCTACCAGGTTCTGACAGGCCCTCGTCGTGGCCACCCTTGTGGCCGGTTTCACCCCCCTGGTCAGTGCTTTGCTCAGCTCACTGACACGGTTCGTTTGGTCTACGGGGTTGGTGCTCCTGCCCCTGACTGGCTGCCTCTTGTTCAGCGCTACGGCTCCGCTCTGTGGGGCATGTCTGCTGAGCAGTTAGTTGATCTGATTGGTACTCCCCATGCTATGTATGCTGTTGTTGACTCTAGTGTTTCTGACTCTGCTTACTCTGGTGTTGTTAGCTTAGGTGCTAGCCTTGCTCAGTTGCCTGTTGCTAGTGTAGGTTCTTGTGTAGACTCTAGTCCAGCGGCTACCTCAGAGGACGGTTCGCTGTCGTTCACGCTGGACTCTGGAGCCTCTCACTGCTTCTTTCGTGACAGCACGACACTTACGCCTCTTCCTGCGCCTGTTTCTGTGGCGCTGGCTGATCCCACTTCGGGACCAGTCACCGCGCGTCACACTACCACCTTGCCGTGTCCGGCTGCTCCTTCTGGGTCTCTCACTGGGTTTCACGTCCCCTCGTTCTCCCGGAACTTGGTGGGCGTGCGACCCCTCGTGAGTCAGCACGTGGGTGTGTGGTTTGAGCCTTCTGGAGAGACTGCGGTGTGTGTTGACGGGGACTCTTACCAGCCCCTCGCCACTTTTGCTGCTGAGCCGGGCTCCGGTCTCTACACTCTTCACACTGGCCCGCGCGCTCAGCAGCGACTGCAGCAGCAGCAGCGGCGGCAGCCGCAGCCGCAGCCACAGCCGCCCCTCCTGCCCCCGGCCCCTGTTTTGCCTCCCGTTCGAGTCCTCGCGTCTCACCAGGTTGCTCCGTCCCCCCAGGTAGCTGTGTCTTGTCAGGTTCCTCCGTCTAGTCCGGTCGCTGCGTCGTGCTCCTGTCGGTCGCTTGCCCACCCCACCGTTTTGTGGCACCACCGGCTGGGACACCCTTCTCTTCCACGTCTGCGTGCTATGTCTAGTCAGCGTCTGGTCTTAGGTCTCCCGCGTGTCTTGCCGTCGCTGCCGCCGTCTCTTGCACCACCGTGCGGTCCTTGCGTCGAGGGTCGGCTGCGCGCCACCCCTCACTCCTCCTCCCTTCGTCCGGCCACCGAGCCTTTTGAGACGCTGCACTTGGACGTCTGGGGCCCCTCTCCTCGCCCTGGCCCTGAGCGTGAGCGTTTCTTTTTGGTGGTCGTTGACGACTACTCCCGCTACACCACAGTGTTCCCCCTGGCGAGGAAGTCTGAGGTGACTTCTACGCTGATTAGGTGGTTGCTTACCACCCAGGACGCTCGTGGTCGTCGTGTCAGCTGTCTCCACTCCGACCGCGGGGGCGAGTTTCGCTCCGGCATTCTCGCTGGATTCTGTCGCGAACAGGGCATTCGTCAGTCCTGGACGCTTCCGGAGTCCCCACAGCAGAATGGGGTTGCTGAGCGTCGCATAGGCCTGGTCATGGAGATTGCCCGCACCTCCTTGACTCACGCCCGTGCCCCCCATTTCCTGTGGCCATACGCGGTCAGGTACGCCGCGCACCAGCTGAACCTCTGGCCACGCGTCTCTCGGCCGGAGGCTTCACCGACCAGTCTTTGGACAGGGTCCCCTGGTGTCGCGTCGAGGTTTCGTGTCTGGGGGTGCTTGGCTCTTGTCCGCGACACCTCCGCGGACAAGCTCTCGCCTCGCGCCGTTCCTTGTGTCTTCCTTGGTTTCCCTGAGGACTCCTCTGACTTCACCTTTTACCACCCTCCCTCTCACCGGTTCTTTGACTCCCGTGACGTCCGTTTCGAGGAGTCCACCCCCTACTACGTCAGGTACCCCAGTCGAGGTCTCCCGGTCCCTCCCCCCCCTCTCTTCCTGACCGCCGCTCCCCCGCCTGCTCCCCCGGTACAGCCTCCCCCCCCTGGTCCAGCCCCGTCTGGTGTGTCTCAGGCTAGCCCTCCCCCTTCGGTAGCCCCCCCTGTACAGCCTCCCTCCCCACAGTCTTCCTCGCCGCCTCCTGCAGGTGCTCCCTCTCGGGAGGTTGGTCCTGCGACTGTCCCTGTACAGGTCTCTGGTTCTGGGGGTGCTGGAGTTGGAGCTGAGCCGCGGGTTGCAGAGGACTCTTGTCTTCCGGGGGCTGGTACTGGTCGTGCGGAGTCTGGGGGTGCTGGTGCGGAGTCTGGGGGTGCTGCGTCTGGGGGTGAGGGTGTCCCTTCGGTTTCTGGAGCGCCTGGGTCTGGAGCTGGTGTTGGTGCTGCCTCTGGGGGTGGTGTGCTTGGTGCTTCGGAGGTCGACTCTGGGGCTGCCGCTGCCCCGGACACTACTCCTTCCCCCCACCCCTACCCGACCAGGTTCCAGGCTCGTGTTCGCCGTGCTCGTGAGGAGCAGCTGGAGTTGGAGAGAGAGTTGCAGCGGCTGGAGGAGCAGGAGCAGCAGCAGGAGCAGCAGCAGAGGCAGCAGCCGCTGGAGCAGCAGCAGCCGCAGCAGCCGCAGCAGCAGCTGCTGCCGTCTCCTCCTCCTGTCTCGGGTCTTCGGACCCTTGGTCTCCCGTCTCCCTCTCCTTCCTCCTCCCCCTCTCCTCCCGTCTCTGGTCCTCCGCTTCCTCCTCCTGACCCCTCTCCCGCTGTTTTCCCTCGTTCTCAGTCTTCGTTGTCTCCTCCTCCTTCTCAGACTTGGGCCTCTCGTCGCTCCCCTCGTGCTCGTCCCTCGTCTCCTGTTCCCTTCACTGACCTTCGTACAGCCTTCCTTTGTTCTCGTCCACCTCGTCCGTCTCTGTCTGTGCTTCCGTCTCCTCCTGAGTCGGCCCTCACTGTGTCGCTTCCTTCTCCTGTCACTGACTACTACCGCACGTACCGTCCTGTTCTCTCTCGTGTTCTCGCCTCTCTTGTTACCCACCCTCGTGCCTCTGTGTCCTCTGTGTCCGCTCTTACTGCCGCAGTCACTGAGTTTGCCTCTACCCGCCGCCTTGACTTCGCCACCGCTCTTGTGGCTGCTCCTCCTTCCAGTCCTCTGGCCGTCGGGGGTGTGTCTGCCCTTGGCTGTGACGCCCTAGAGGACAGGCAGTTTGAGCTAGAGTTCCTGGCGGCCGCTTCCCCTCATCTCTGTGCCATGCTCCTCGCCCCTGAGGGTGACCCCGACGCCCTTGACATTCCGACTCCTCGCACTTACACTGAGGCAGTGTCAGGGCCTTGGGCCTCTCAGTGGAGAGCTGCCATGGACGCAGAGATGGCCTCCTACAGATCCACAGGCACCTACGTCGATGAGGTTCCCCCTCCGGGGGCGAACGTAGTCGACGGCATGTGGATCTACAGGGTGAAGCGGCCACCGGGATCTCCTCCGGTCTTCAAGGCGCACTACGTGGCTAGAGGTTTCAGTCAGCGCGAGGGAGTTGACTTCTTTCAGACCTTCGCGCCCACCCCGAAGATGACCACTCTTCGGGTGTTACTACACGTAGCAGCACAGAGAGACTACGAGTTACACTCTCTCGACTTCTCTACTGCTTTCCTTCAGGGCAGTCTTCACGAGGAGGTCTGGTTGCGTCGTCCCTCTGCCTTCACTGGCTCTTTCCCTCCTGGGACCCAGTGGAGGCTGAGGCGACCGGTTTACGGTCTTCGTCAGGCTCCTCGTGAGTGGCACGACACCCTGCGTTCTACCCTGTCTGACCTTGGGTTCCAGCCGTCTTCTGCTGACCCGTCGCTGTTCGTTCGTCGTGGCCCCACACCTTTCTTTGTTCTGGTCTACGTTGACGACCTTGTTTTCGCCACCCCTGA